TCAAGGATGCTCAAGTCTCTAATTCAAAATGATGGACTATCATCCTGAATGCTTTAAGCCATGTTTAGGTAACTTATAAACCTAATACAATATAAACGCTATGCAAACAGTTGTTATACAGTTGTTATACATAGTCATATTCAGAGAATAATGACAAAAGGGAAAAGTCTATATATGTTCAATAGAAACCGAATATATTTTCCAGATATTTTCAATCCAAGATTGGTTCGATCTGTGAATGAATAGGGTTAAATGTATAATATAAAGTATCTTTCAAAACTGAAGTTGAAAAGAAGGACATTTTTTTTGGATAAACAAAAGCTAAGGAATTTGTTACCTGTATATTTACTATGCAAATAATACTAGAAGTTGTTCTTATGATGAAGAGAAATAGAGCTACTCAGACCTACAGGTAAGAATAAGCTGCTCTGAGAATGCTAAATGTGTGAACAAATGCAAAAGAATATTTTAAATTCTTTTCTTAAATTCTTAAACCTCAATTGATGTTTTAAAAATATTTTTTAGTTGTCAGTGTACCTTTATTTTATTTATATGTGGTGCTGAGAATCAAACCCAAAGCCTTACACGTGCTAGGCAAGCACTCTACCACTAAGCTACAACCCCAGCGCTCAACTGATTTTTAAAACAAAAATACTAACAATATGTTGATGATTTGGTATTATAAGTAAAATACATGATAAAAATAGAACCAAGGTATATGTTAATTCCCTCAAGTCATTGCACATGTTATTCATGACAAATGTATGTGGTTTTAATTTGTCAAAAAATAAATTTAAAACATTATCATGATCATAAAATAATTTCAAAATTAGAACTGAGTTATGAATAAGTCAGAGTTCCAGAAAGAAAGGAGCTACACAGAAGACAAATTTCAGAAATTAGTATGGTATCTCTTTCAGCCTGTGTTGAAAGCTAGGTATTAGAGTAAACTCCACAAAACCAGAACAATTATGACTGATGAGTCATATGCTAACGAAAATTCCAGAGGTAACAGAGGGCAAAGGAACATTTGTCCTGCAACTAACCAGAGTGAGAGGTTTCATTGATCACCCAGGTACTTGCTAAAATCCCAAAAGCATTGAACCATAATCATAAGTTTTAATTATGCCTAAAATGAGGCAATATAGACCTGCCATATAAAAGCTTAAAATTAAGACTCAAAAAGATAAAACTTAGCTACAAGTAATTTTCCTGCCAGAACAAAGTCCAAAATTTCAGGAAAAAAAGAAAAAGATAAAAACATGGACAGTAACATTCACAATAGAGTGTACCACAACAAAACCTGCTAGACGTACCAAGAAGCAGGTGATTTGGCAGCAGGAAAATAATAAGCCAATAGAACCAGACCGCAAAGTTAAAATGAAGAAAGATTAGCATAGTATGTTGGATGATTTGAAGGAAAACAAATATCATGAGAAAATGCAAGGTATTTAAAAATAAAAGACTCAAAAGCAAGCATCACCACTGGAAAATCCTGGTTGGGAGAAACAGCTCGGCAATGCAGAAGACAGGATCTGTCAATTTGAAGACATAACAAAAGAAATTAACGAAATTGAAACAAGGAGGAAACAGTATAGAAAAAGAAATGGGCAAATCATCAGTGATCAGTGGGAAAAAATGGATAAAGAATATGTGGTGTATATACACAATGGAATATTACTCAGCTATAAAAAAGAATGAAATTATGGCATTTGCTGATAAATGGATGGAATTGGAGACTATCCTGCTAAGTGAAATAGGCCAATCCTCCCCAAAAGGTGGGAATGGAAGAATAGAAATTCATCAGATTAGACAAAGAGGAATAAAGGAAAGAGAGTGGGGGGATGGGAATATGAAAGACAATAGAATGACTGGACATAACTTTCCTATGTTCATATATGAATACATGACTAGTATAACTCCACATCATGTACAACCTCAAGAATGGGAAGTTATACTCCATATATGTATAATGTCAAAATATACTCTACTGTCATGTATATCTAAAAGGAACAGATAATTAAAAAAATAAATAAAATGATTTGAAAAACAACCAGCCTGACCATTAATCAAATAGACCATATTTTGAGCCATTAAATGAATTTTAATTAATTTTAAAAAGGATCAATTTTATATAGTACACTCTCTATAATGAGGTAAATATGAAATCATAACAGAAATATACCTGATATTTCCCAAATATTTGAAAAGTGAAAAATGTACATATAAACAATTTATAAGTTAAAGAAAAAAAAAAGCAATCTAACATGTTTGTGACTAGAATCTAAAATCTGTGTGTGTGTGTGTGTCACTAGTAGGAAGGCAAACAAAAAACATTTGAATTGATAATAATAACAGTAATTTTCTAAATATTTTAAAACCAGAACGCACAGGTCAAATAAGCTCAATGAACCGTCAAGTAGAATAAATACAAAATATGTACCTGGGGGCACATCACAATCAAATTGCTGAAATCATTGTTAATGAAAACGTCCTTACATTAGTCAGACTGAGAAAAATCACATTATTTCAAGTAAATAGTGAGAAGAATTACTGTAAAATCCTCATGAGGAATTATGTAAGCTTGAAAAAAATAAAACTAGAATTGTGTAGATAATCAAAAATGATATCCTTTAAAACTGAAAGCAAAATAGACTTTTCCAAACAAATGAAATTTTAGTTTGTTGCCAGAGGATTTACTGTACAATAAATCTTAAAAGCAATTCTACAGAAAAAAGGAAAATGGCTTCTGATAGAAACATGGATCTACATTTCCGGAAATGGTACATATGACACACTTATTTTCTCACTCTTTAAATTCTTTAAAATATCATTAAGTATTTAAAGAAAAACAGAATATTATTACGTCATTTTCAGAGCATGAGAAAGTAAGATATATGATAACAATAGCACAAAGGTATAGGAAGGAGAAAGAAAAGTATACTATTTAATATTCATATATGTGAAGCAATAGAATTTATTACTATTATTGTTATTTTAATTGTACATATTATCAAGTACAGTCTGATAATTCAACACATTTATAACAATGCATAATGATTAAATTGAAGTAGTCAGCATTCTTACTTTTTAAAAATGCTTGATTATCATGTAATAATTATATATATTTATGGAGTATAGTATGATATTTCAATATTTCTATCTCCTTATCATCACTTTGTGTTTGGAGCCTGTAAGCTCTTCTCTTCTAGTTATTTACAAAATATATGATAGGTTATTGTGAACCATAGTCACACACCTTGCGAATAACACTAGAAATTATTACTTCCATCTAACTGTGTTTTGGATAAACTGATAAAGAAAAGGTGGTACATATACACAATGGACTACTATTCAACCACTAAAAAAATCCTGATATCCTATCGTTTTTATCGAAATGAATGAAACTGGAGGACATTATGTTCAGTGACCTGAGTCAACAGGAAGACAAATACCCCATTTCTATCTCACATATGGGTTTTTAAAACGTCAATAGCAATATAGAATGGTGATTACTGGAGGCTGGGAGAGGGAGGAAAATAGAAGGAGGTTTGATAACATCTTCCAAAACACAGTTGGATGGGCGTAGAAGGCTCTCCTGTGGAGATAAACAGTGATAAATCCATCATGAAAATTGTCAGCTCCTGTCAGGTTTTAAAAGCAAGGCCCAAGTATTTCCTGTCTCTATAACTATAATACAAACTCTGTGCATGAGTATCCAGCAGTCACACACACTCACACAGAGAGCTAGATTAAAATACAGGAATATAATCAGTCACAATACTGTAAACATTCACAATAAGAAAGTTACAGTGGTTATACTAACACCAAGTAAAGAAGATACTAGAATAAAAATCATTAGCAGAGATTTAATAATGATAGGACAAAGATGATTTGATAATCATCAAGAAGATGTATCAGGCATGAGTTAGCATTCACTTAATAGCACAAATACAAATGTGCAAAGTTCATTCAATAGACAAAAGGATAATCTTGTCTACAAATAAAACTGGAACCACAGCTAGAAGAAAATAAGGAACCATTATGATACATCCACAACACCAAAAGCAAGATTCATACAAAAATAAAAACAACAGTAAGCTGGACTTCATTGAAATTAAAAAGTTATTTCTTAGGGTTTTTTATTGGATAATTATAATTTTACATAGTATTTGGGTTCATCGTGACAAAATCATGCATGTAAGAAAGTTTATTTCAATCCTTATCCCTCTCTTTTCCTCCCCTCCTCCTATTCTCTTTCTTGTAGTCTTCTGATCTTTCTTTCGCGCCTTTATTTATTTATTTTTGATTGACACTTTCCACATACACATAAAGGTGAAATTCCCTTCGGTACATTTACATGATGCATATAACATGATTTTGTTAAATTCATTCCATGTTTCTTCACTTTGCCCTTCCTTTCTCTTCCCTCTTGTTCTTCTACCCCACTAATCTTCCCTGTGTACTTATGATACCTGATCACTTCCTCACCATCTTCTTTCCCTTATTTTACCCTACCTCACACATATGAGAAAAATTATCAACCCTTGTTACAGAAGCACAATTCACACTAACCAAATTATGAAATCTACCTAAATACCTGTCACTAAAGGGATCACTAAAATGCAGTATATATACACGATGGAGATTCACTTAGCCATCAAGAATGAAATTATGGCATTTGCTGATAAATAGATGGAAACAGAAAATTATACTAAGTAAAATAAGCCAGACTCAGAAAACTTATTTTTAAAAGAGTTTGAAAAGAAACAACCACAAGAAATATTTTCAAAACGTTATATGTGAGAAAGGACTTGTCATTAAGACATAAAATCTCAAATTCAAAAGCAAAACAAATGATCCAATAAACACAAAGACAAATGATTTAAACAGTCCCTGGACTTGAGAAGATATATAAACACCCCCATAAGCCTATAAGGAAATGTTTAGCATCATTATCCAGAAAGAAAATGCAAATTAAAACAAGCAGGACTACTCACCATGAGAATGGCTTAAATAAAAAACGTTAACATCAAATGTATGGGTGTGGATCAAAAGGAATTCTCATATCCTGCTAGTGGGAATGTGAAGCAATAAAATGACTTTTGAAAGTTGTTTGGCAGTTTCTTAAAAAGTTAAAAATACACCTACCAGACCAGCCAGACATTTCACAATTAGGTATTTAAGTCCCAAGAGGATTAAAATAGATGTTCACACAAAATCTGAACATAAAGTTCATAGTTACCTGATTTATAATAATCAAAACAATCTAATGTCCATCGGCAAGTTATTGGATAAGCAAAATGTGGTACATCCATACAAGGGAATAGCACTCAGTAATACAAGGAATACATGCAAGTCTATAAATAGGTCTCAAAACCTGCTGAGTGAAAGAAGCCAGATTTTTAAATATAGTCTAACTTTATTTCTAGAAAATAGAAACTATAGTGACAAAAAACAGATTAGTACATGACTGTGAGAGGGGATGGGTTCACAGGATGAAGAAACTATTCATTATTTTGATTGAAGTATATACATTTGCCCAAAGAAATCAAATTTTACACTATAATGGCACATTTTAATGCATGCATTTATATCTAAAATGTTAATATGTTTTGCAGTCTGGGGGAAACAAGAAAAATGTGCAAGTGTACTAAAGAATATGAGAAAGTTCATAATTAAATGCCAAAATATTCAAGAACAACCTCAGAATCGACAAGAATGAGAAAGATTTATTTGGGCTGCCACTAACAGGATGAAAGTTTAGGACAGAACAAAGAAATTCCCCATGTGGAACATCATAACTAAAGAGGAAAGCCTGTAGAAAGTTTGTGTGGTGAAACTTTAATTTCACCTTTGGTTTAGTTATAAGCAAAGCTTAGTATCTTTGGCACTAGATGCTGGACACTGCTTTCCTGGGGGGGGGGGGGAATTCCACAAAGCATTCTAAAACCAATCTCCAGGGCCAGGTTGACTTACACCTCTGTAAGAAGTGGAAACATTCAGGTGTGAAATGTTCTAACATCTCTGTGTTTGGGCTCTTATACCCATGGGGACTGACATAAATGTCCCAAAGTGGAAAATCATGTAAAGTCAGACTAACTTGGTAAGGGTCATGGTCATAGCTCATATGTAACAGAATAATGTGACAGAATGCGGAATGCTTTATAGGTTGATGAATAGAAGTCGTATTGAAAAGTTAGTTGTGGGCTGGGGTTGTAACTCAGAGGTAAAGCTCTTGCCTTGCATGTGTGAGGAACTGGGTTTGATCCTCAGCACCACATAACAATAAATAAAAAAATAAAGGTATTGTCTCTATCTACAACTAAAAATATTTTTAAAGTAATTTCTTAAAATGTTCATGGAATACTGACTTAAATTGGACATTAAAACCTGATTTCCTGGTTTCAGTCCTGGATCCCGTGAGATCCCATGATCTCAGTTTGTCTAATCTTGATCATCTTCTATGGTTTGAGTCTTTGTTTCTTTATTTTTTTGTTTCTCCTTTTCTTTTTTTTTCTTTCTAAATGAATTTCGATTCTTACAGAATAGGAGAGATGAACAAAATAGTAAAGCCACTGAGAATTACACAACAATTAGTGGACAATTACCACCATCCTTTTCAGCCTAAGATAGCTGATCACTCATTCATTTCTGCTGAAATTCAGCTGCTTCATTTCATGATTACTATGTTTTCCCAGATCTTTATTAATTCATATTCTGGAACAATATCTTGGCAAATCTTCAGACTCTTGTTTTCTTTCTCTTCAATGTGTCCTGCATACTGCTGATACATTCATTTTTAAAACAACAAAATTATTCTGGCCAGGTTCCACATAAAATGTTTGCCTTATCTTTAGTTTTCAATTATCCAAAACTATTACCTAAAATCAAAAACAAAACTTAAAAAAAAAGACATGATTCTCAAACATATCAACAACATAGCAGATCTAAAACATTCCAGAGGTAATCAGAGAAGAGCCTGTAGCTCAAGGATCATATGATAGCTTGAAAACTCTGCAGATTTTATGTTAAAATGATGCTTTGATGCCTTTCTTTGACAATCCCCTATGTATGCACACACACACACACGGGGGGGGGGGAGAGAGAACACATCACATTAACAGATAAAATTTTCAAAATTAATGAAATATAAACAAGTACAAGATAAATATCATAAGCAGAAAAAGAATGGAAATCTAAGATGGTAGGTGGGGCTGCAGCTAAAGCCACGGAGCTCAATTTTAGGTTTGAAAGTAAGAGAAGCTGCCAGAATTCATTTGCTATGGAATAATGGAACTAAAATTGCAGTGAGAATTGGGCCCAGTGGTTGATACCAGGGTCTGGAGCAAAGCTTTCTTCTTCATACAAAGGAGCTAAATAAAGTAGCCAGATTATTCCTAAGTCCAGGGCATAAATAAACCTAAATATTTAAACTAAAGAAAGCAGAGGTGATCTTGTGTCCAGAACCAACTTACAAACTGGTTCAGTGTCGGGGTTAGGGTTAGGGTTAGAGTTAGGGTTACTTAGATATGAAGTAGTGCTACAAATAGTCAAATCCCAAAAGATATTTGAAAACTAATGCTAAGAAAGTCAACATAATCAGCAATGAGGAAACTTATTTTTCTCAAAAAATTATATATATATATATATATATATATATATATATATATATATATAAAATGTTTTAGATCTGCTATGTTGTTGATATGTTTGAGAATCATGTCTTATTTTTTTAAGTTTTGTTTTTGATTTTAGGTAATAGTTTTGGATAGTTGAAAACTAAAGATAAGGTAAACATTTTATGTGGAACCTAGCCAGAATAATATATATATATATATATATATATATATATATATAATTTTTTGAGAATAATTATATATATATATATATATATATATATATATATATATATATATATAAAATAGCAGCTTAAGAAACAGAATAGGAAAGAAAAATAGGCCAGAATAAAGCAAAGGGGTAGGTATATAAATTATATAACTTAAATTATTTAAATAGAAATAGTCATTATATATTTAGGGCGGGAGCGTTAAGAGAAGGTAGGGCAACTGCTAATGGGTGTAAGGTTCTTTTAGTGGATGATAAAAATGTTCTAAAATTAGCTTATGCTAATGGTCTCACAGGTACATAAATGTACTGAAATCCAATAAATCAGACACTTAAATATGTGAACTTTGTGAATGCTAATGCTTACCTCAATAAAGTTCTAAAAGTCATTAAATTTTTAACATTTCAATAGAAAAGTCAATCAGTGCCCCAACCCAGAGAATTATCATATTCTATCAATTCCAAGCTACACAATATTTTCACATTTCCAAAATCAGAAGGTTCTTATAACCATAGTAGCTTAAAATCATTGTTACCTAGGCAGCCCTTAGGAAGACACTGTCACTGCCTCAGGTCTCATAAGTGCAAACGTGCTGATATCTACTCATTTGAGGTGTGTGTTTTTTTGGTGCTATGTGTTTCATATAAACACATTTAAAATATCTTCAAAATACTACATTTATGTTATTTTGTTCTTAGAATTGGGAATAAATTTGATATTAATGAAGCAAGTGTCCGTACAAAGAATAGCCATAACCAATATGTTATTGCAAAGCAAACAAATTCTTTAAGATTCTAAGCATGGAAAATGCCCATACATTAGGATCTTTATTTCATTTTGATTGCAAATAGCAGGAGAAAGTGCCTAAAAGATGCAGATTTACTAGAAAGATAATGAAATTTAAGCTTTAGAGTTTCTCATTTGTGCAGATACATCTTCCAAGGTCCTTTTCTCTTTTTTTTCCCCCATAAAGAAGGATCCAAGTATTATAAAACTGTAGGCCTTTCAAAATATGAATCCAGCCTTGTTCTCAGAATGAATGAAAAATGTTTTCAAAGTACATTTGGCTGGTGTGACAGATTCACATGTCAAGGAGAATTATTAAAAATGTGGCAAACATCAATATCCTGGACACTTGTGTTCAACTTCTCATGTCATGAAAGTCAATTGAGGGAAAAATGTAATCATAAATTTTTTTAATTAATAAAGCTATTCAAATTCCATTGTCTTTCAACATGGCTCAGAATTCAATTGGCAATGCTAATGGAGCTAATAAGATCAAGAGTGTGAGCATGAATTATAATAAGCAGCATATCACTGTAGTTCTACTCATAACAGATGGTCAAAGTTGTTACCACAATTAATTTAAAACTGCAAAACAATTTCTAAAAAATGAGAACTCCTCCCAAAGATGATATTGTGCATGCAATAAAAAGTAAAAGAATAGTGGCTGAGTTAATGGCTGAAAGCCATCTGGAACTATCAGGGATCTCCACATTAGACATCAAGTATACTGTACCAAACCAATGAAAGTATAGACTTATCAAAGTTGAGTGATTAAGCTGTTGTCCCTGGTATCATAACTGAACCTTTGCAACCAACACTATGGTGTTATCATGAGAAGCAATTATGTTCATACTTGGAAAGTTGAAGTCCATTTCATTCCTGGTTTATATCACAGTATAAGTTGACCTCGAAATTTCTGGTTCTGCCCAAATGGTTCATAGGTTTTCAGAGCTAGGTGCTCTAAATAATTTAAAAAAATAGAAGAGATGTGGATCCTCTTTTTCAATCCTGCTGATGCCTGACCTTTATACAAATTCTGAAATGGATATGCTTACTGATATTGTTGGTTAGCATGAAGATTCTTCTTGAGGCCCAAAGCTCTCCAACTACTTACCTACTCAGTCTCCTACTCTCATTCCCTTTGTCAAAGTTCAGCATCTTAATAATCAACCCTAATTTAGAGTAGAAAATTCCAGGAGGTTCTAAACTTCCCAAGGTGTCCATTGTCACTCACACTGGAACATAAGGCAAGAGGAGAATAGATACTTACATTTTCACTAGTCAGTTGAGTAGCCTAGGAGGAATTGTTAAATGACCAATTGCTTTTGTAACTTGAGTCTAAAATATTAAGAAGTTCCTATTTTAATATGTAATTTGTAGTCTCCATATTTTCTGACACAGTCACCATCTTAAAATACAATAGTCAAGGTGGCAATAGTATGTCACATGCA